GCAGGGAGGACTGTACTCAATCCTAGGAGAAAAAAAGGTGGAGTCAGAGAGACTCAATGGAGCCCGTGCTGGAGTAACTTTGCTGGTAGACCACGACCTCATGGTGATATAAAGATTAATAAAAAAGTGTTAAATTAAGATGTAGGAATTAGCCAATAAGAAACTAGAGCTAATGGGTCAAACAGTGTTTTAATTAATATTGTATCTGTGTGGTTATTTCGATTCTGCCCAGCTGGAACAAGCAGCTTCTCCAACAAGAAGGTTTCTGAACAAGCAGATACCTTCTCCAACAGTTAGTGTTTATCATCAAATACTGATTACAAACATGAATCTGGGGCATATGACGTGGAAATATTTTAGAATCCATGAATGAATACTTCATTTCCTGTCTGTCAGGATCAGCCCTCAACATACAATTTCCCTTTTTCACTTTGGTCAAAAGCAGGGGCAGATCTTTAAGAGCTGGAGTATCATTCAGAAGAAATGCTCTTTTGTGTTTTATTTGGAACCATTGAGGGACTACTGAGCAGAAAAAAGCAACTTGTCTGCAAACAGAAGTGGAACTTTTCTTTTGTCCTGGTTATCCAGTCCCAAATAAACACACAAATGTTTATATTAATTACAAAATGCTCAGCCTACAGTTCAGGCTTATTACTAACTATCCCTTACATGTAAATTAACACATTTCTATTAATATATAATTTTCAATGTGTCTTATGGCTTTGTTCTCTAATATATCTTGTTCCTCCTACACCTTGCTGCCAATTCTCTCCACTACACCCGACTTTCTCCCTGTATTCAGTGTGATTTTCTGCCAAGATATATTTTATCTTGTTTCAGGTCAAAGCAGCTTTTATTTTCAACCAAAGAGAGCAACATATATTCACGGGTAACAGAAGGGTTATTCCACAGCACTTTTCCATTACTATGGTTCCCACAACCTGCATCACCACTTGGCTAGGGTGCAGGAAACAGCTGCTTTCATTCCCTGACATTTTTTTTCTATTTTATAATCATAATCAATCTAAAGAAATGGCACTTAGCACTAAGCCTGCAGGCAGCAAGCTAGGCTTTTTGTCTGCGAGGTCCCTGGCCAGCAAGAGGCCCTGATCTTGTACCAGAAGATCCATCGGAGGGGTGAATGTTGCTGACCCATGGCAGAAGCCCCGGAGATGGAGCACAGACAGTCCTCAACCCCCTAATCTTTCTGGTCATTCTGCGGGGGCTTCTCTCCCTGGCTACTGCCTCTCTCTTCCTATCCCATCCCAGTTCAAGCTCAGGCACTCCTTCCCTTCTTCGGGGCCATGAGACCCCCCAGTTCAGCCTGGTTTGGGGCTGGGACAGGGTGGTGAGTGCAACTGGGCTGGAGTTCCTTTGCTTCACTAAGCAGCTAGGCAGCAAGCTAGGCCTTTTGTCTTCGAGGTCCCTGGCCAGCAAGGGGCCCTGATCCTGTACCAGAAGATCCATCTGAGAACATTTGAAAGAAGAGATGGGCAGGCACCAATGCAAGAATTCCTCCAACAACCTGAAAAACAACATGATATCATAAGAACCCTGCAAACATACAACAGAAAGACTTGAACACCCTAATCCAGAAGAAGTAGAAAAAAAATGGCATTATGAAAGCGATAGAGTCCCTTAAACAAGATGTGAAAAACTCCCTTAAAGAAATGGATGAGAAGAATAACAAAAAGTTTGAAGAAATGAGTAAATCTGTAAAAGATACCCTTGGAAACCAAGAAAAAACAACCAAGCAGGTAATGGAATCAGTTCAAGACTTGAAAACTAAAATGAAAGCAATGAAGAAAACACAAACCGAGGGATGGTTTGATGTGGAAAATCTGGGTAAACGAACAGGAACTCTCTGAAAGTGGCTGTCAATGAAGGCTGACTGAGAAACCAAGGACAATGGCACTGGGTTTTGATTCTACTGCGTGGACTGACTTTGTGGGAGCCTGGTTTGTTTGGATGCTAACCTTCCCAGACCTGGATGGAGGGGGGAGGACCTTGGACTTCCCACAGGGCAGGGAACCCTGACTGCTCTTAGGACTGGAGAGGGAGGGGTGGGGGAAGGAGGAGGGAAAATGGAGGTGGGTAGGAGGTGAAAATTTTTAATAAATAAATAAATTTTAAAAAATAAAAATAAAATAAAAAAACAAGAAAAAAATAAATTAGGAGACTTCGGTTGTAACAGATTTTTTTAAAAAAAAATCTAAAAAATGTATTTTCATTTTACATGTATGAGTGTTTTGTCTGCACTGTGTATGTGCACTACATGCATGCCTAGTATCTGCGAAGGCCAGAAGAGGGCATCCCCAAGAACTGGAAGTCCAGATAGTTGTGAGCCTTCATGTGGGTACTGAGAACTGAACCTGGATTGTTTGCAAGGGCACCAGTGGTTGGTATATAAAATGAAATTTAAAATATAATAAAAAAAATTTAAACCACTAAACCAAAATCCATACCAATGTAAAATGTTTTGAGAATAATGGTTGTTTTTTTAATTAAGGTAGATTCAATTATCTACCCTTTTTGTTATCCATTATAGATTTATTGATGTTTAGTTCATATACTATATATTGTTCTTTTATAGATTTGACAATGAAATAGTTCTTAACATATTTTTAGAAGAATATAATAATTCCTGTCTAATCCTAAAACATTTACCTAACTACCTCACTCCCCCACTCCCTCACAAAGTCTGATCCCATTTAGCAGTTCCCTGCTTCCCTTCCAAGCAGCATTTTGTCAGCCAATAATCTATTTATTTCTGTATACACTTGCTAATATTTTTAAAATGTCTTGACTTCAAAATGAATATATAGGTTGGTTTAATCCAGCAGTTTAGCAGTTTTTATAATCCATTGTGTTTTTGCAGTTGCTGTAACTTCATTACCAATCAAAAAATACAAAGACAACACACAATAACATACAGAATCCAGACTCTCTTGATTTTCCATTTTTACCTGGCTTGTTATATTTTTTATTACTCTATTCCTTTTTAAAAGAACTTTATTATTTTTAAATTAGTTTTTATTCTATGACTGTCTCTACCCCCTATCTTTCCTCTCCCATGCCTATGTATATTTTTAAACACACTGTATCCCATTTAGTGGTTTATTATTTATCTGGATCTGTCTTTACTGAGCATCTGTACTATTTTTTATTTCATTAGGTGAATCTTAAACTGCTATGTCAGTCACCATCAGTGTAGCTTAGCTTAGTGAATGCTGATAATGTATGGTGACTGGTCCTCCCACAAGCAGCTGCTGGGAGATGCATCTGATCTCCTTATTGCAGCAAGAGACATGAGACTAGGAAGTCAAGTTTGGATCCATTTTTGTGTGCTTAGAATCTTTTTATTTATTTTATTTACTTAAGCTTTCTTCACTCCTGTGAGGATGTAGATGCCAGACATTTGAGTGTCATTTGTAGGCAAATTTCTCCTGTCCCAGCAGTCAGTTCCCAAATAACAACAAGAGACTTATTATTAATTAGAAACGCCTGGTCGATATCTCAGGTATTGTTATCTCTTACAACTTAAATAAACCCATTTCTGTTCATCTATGTACTGCCACAAGGCATGTGGCTCTTACTGCTCCAGCTTGCTTTTACTACCTCTCCTTCTGGCTGGCAACTCATCTAACACCCATGTCTCCATCCTTCTTTGTCCCAGCACCGTCTTAGTCTCATTTTAGCACCTAATCTCCTTCTGCCCAGCTATAGACCAATTGTTAGACAACTGGAGTAATATAATACACATTTGTAGTGTACAAAAATATTCTTCAATTCATCACAATTGTAAAAATCCAGAGCATTGATAATATCAAGAGTATGCTGTTGGTGGAGGTTTCTGTCCTGCCAGGTTCCACAATAAACACACAGAAACTGTATTATTTGCAATATTGTTTAGCCAATAGCTTAAGTGTATTTCTGACGTACTCTTATATCTTAAGTTAATTCATTTCTATTAGTTTATATTTTATCACGAGGCTCATGGCCTACCTGCAAGGTTTCAGTCAGCGGTTCACGTCTTTCCCCTCTGGCATCAACATGGCATCTCACTGACTCTGTCTCCTTTCTCCCAGAATTCAGTTTATTTTCCTTACCTAGTTCTACTCTACCCTATCACGGGCCAAGCTAGCTTTATTCATTAACCAATAAAAGCAACACATAAAAAAAAGTACTTCCCACATAAGTACACAAAGATGAGGGGTAAATGGAACTCTCCAACCTTGTAGAGAAAGAAAGATGATACAAACTATTTGGAAAATGCTGGAAGTTCCTTGTGAAATAAAATTGCACTTAACATGAGAATTTTGATATCAGAGTTCTAGACTTTTTACTAAAAAAAATAAAATGTATCTTCATACAATGACTTACACACAAATTTACATGACAAATTTATTCATAATTGTTTAAACTTAGAAAGATACCATATGTTCACATGTGAAGGGAACAAAAGAACTTTGGGTTACTGTCCAGGCAGCAATATGTCTCTGTCATTTCTAGAGTTTTGATTTCTTGTTTAATTAGGTAATATTATGTTCTTCTGGAGTCTTTGATGGAGTTGAAGAGTAGATAGTTATTATTTTCCCTAATTATGATAAAAGATAAAGTAAATACAAATATTGTAACTGTAATTCTTTCTTGATAACTGTTTTGCTATATGTAATTTTACTTTGTTAAGGTTAAAGCCTTCCTTTTTGTTTAAACAGAAAAAGGGGAAATGATGTAGGTGGGCCTTCTGTCTACATGTTACTTTCATTGGTTAATAAAGAGACTGCCTTGGCCTTTTTGATAGGCCAGCCCTTAGGTGGGTGGAGTAAACAGAACAGAATTGTGGGAGAAAGAAAGCAGAGGCAAGCAGACACCATGATTCCCCTTCCCGAGACAGACGCTGGCCAGACTCATGCCTGTAATCCACAACCTCATGATGGTCTACAGATTATTAGATATGGGTTAATCAAGATGTGAGAGTTAGCCAATAAGAGGCTACAGATAATGGGCCAGGCAGTGTTTAAAAGAATACAGTTTCCGTGTAATTATTTCAGGGGTAAACTAGCCTGGAGCCAGGCAGCGGGGGCGCAGCCCACTGCACTTTCCTACAACAATTTGCATAAAATAAAAGTGCTTTTTACCAAAAAGTTTGAACCACTGATCTGTGAAAAAGACAGGAGTTAGCTAAAATGATGATGATGATATATAATATATAATGATAATAATGGTAATAGTCAAAGAAAATTGAGCCAAATACAAATCTTAATATAATAAATGACACTCATGACTATGCCACACTAATTGACAGTACAAAAGAGCATATTTCTGCTTGTCTGTTGCCAACTTGGGGGTGACAAGATGCAGAAAAGAACATTGGGAGATACAAACTAGCCTTGTTATGGTTTGATGGTTCTCTTAGAGTTTCTCTTGCTGTGGTAAAACAACACGATCAAGACAACTTGAGGAGAAAGGGGATTATTTTGTTTACATTTCTACACCACAGTCCATTAATGAAGGAAGTCAGAACAGACACTAAAACCTGGCAGGATCCTACAAGTCAGAACTGATGCAGAGGCCATTGAACAGTGCATCTTTCTGGGAGCTCCTCATGGCTTGCTCAGAATGCTTTCTTATAGAACCCAGGACTATATACCAATAGTTAGTCATACCAACAATGGGCTGGGCTCTCACACATTAATCTCTAATGCCCTGTAGCTTGTGTATAGGCAGAACTTATGCAAGCACTGTCTCAACTGAGGTTCCCAATTCTCAGATTACTCTAATTGTGTTAAGTTGACATAAAACGATTTTTCACAATGGTGCTAGAAGACATGTACATATTTGATAAAACTCATAATTCTTACAACTTACAATGGAGACATTATATTACATACACACACTCCAACACCAGTATCTTATGTTTTTATTATCAGAGAAAAATCTCATGCGTCAATAATCACTTCAAAACTAAATGACATTAGAAATAAATGCACTACATGATCCTGACCATGAGAAAATATCAATAGAGACATCACCCAGAAAACAGACAAATATGGACATGGATTATAGATTAGAACATATAACTTTATCAATACTACAATTTATTGCTTCAGACTGATGTTTTAAAATAATTTGTCATTAGAAAATATTTAAGGACAGTTTGGTATTATTATTATCACCATCATAGTTATTAGGCTTCATGAGACAGACTCTCACTCTATAGCCCACAATAGTCAAAACTTCACTATGTAGCTTACTCTCTTCAAACTGTTGTACCTGTAAGATTATACATCTGAGACATCCATCAAGCTGGCCTCAATGAATATTACCATGTCTATAGGGTTTCTACTTATCATCAAGCAGATCAGAGAAAGAGAACATTTGGACTAGTTTGAAACTATTCATCAAATAAGTCTGAAATTATAATTTACAGAAAATAAATGCTTTTTAAAGGTAAGTTCTTCCACCTGCAAAAAAAAAATATCAAACAGTAATCAACTTACTAGCAAGCAAACAGAAACACACATCTGCATTTTACTTCCTCATTGTTATGTCAAAGCCACAGATACAGAGATGATTGAACTTAGAGATAATAAGATATGTGTGCCATTTATCAATGTTCTGTATTTGGTTCCATGTGTCTTTCAGCAAACAAAAAGAGTGATTCCTCAGGGCCTGGGATCAGAGAGCATCAGTACTGTTGACACAAGCTGCTCCTTTTATCAGGAAGGAAGATGGGTTCTGCTTTGTTTAGTCTGATTTTGGAAAGTCATCTTCCCTTTCCAGCTCCTCACTTGGTTTTTGCAGCCGGCTGAGACCTGTGAGTGAAACATTCAGGTGTTAACTAGTCTGAAATCATCAGAGGAAACAAACACAGATGGCAACATTCCATTTTTACCTTTCCTTTGACTGCACTTTTCCACTCTTTTTTCACATATACAGCCAAGGCGTTGATAGCAATCATAATCCTGTGTGCCTATTGAGCTGAGAAACGCACAGCCTCCTGTGGCACGTCCTAATTTTATTACACTCAAATCACTATAAAATAAAAATATATATAAAATGGGCAGTTATTTACAAATGAAGCTTACAGTAATGAAGACCATGATAATTAAAACAAAGTATATTAACCAAAATATACAGAATATGGAATGAAAAATAAGAGTATCACTAAGGGTTTTTCACTTTCTCTAAAGTCATAAAAAATGGTCTTGGGCCAGTGACATGACTCAGTGCATTCAGGTCACTATCACCAAACCTGATAAACTGAATTCAAACCTCAGATGCCACACAGGAGAAAAAAAAAAGAAGTGACTCCTTCAACTATATTCTTACTCCATCTGTCCTGTGTGATATTTGCACACACATGTGCATATATTAACAAAAAATAAATGAATAGAAAAAATAAAACATTGATATGGTCTCTTGATCACAACTCAACTCATCATCTATTTCATATTGCTAATTTTTTATCCGCAAGTAAAATACAATTTATTGTTACTAGTGGATAAATTTATTTTTTTATTTCTTTTTCATTTCACATACCAACGACAGTTCTCCCTCCCCTGCCTCCTACTTTCCCCACCTCATCTCATTTCACCCTCCATCCACTCTGTCAGAAAGCATAAGGAAGTCATTAAAGCTTAAGGTAAGACCACCTGCGTCAAGCCTGAACAAGGAATCCCACCATAAAAAATGGACTCCAAAAAGACAGCTCATGCATCAGGAATAAATTATGGTCTAGGAGATATTTTAAAACTATGTTTCCCTGTGATACTTTTTGCAATAAACATAGAAAAAAGAAGTAAATGTGTGGCACACAGTGCAAGGTACCAGTGGCCATATCAGGGGAACAGCAGGTGGCAATTGAAAGTCAAAGTGTCCCACCAGAAGGGAACTCTCTGATAGGTCATTCTCAGCTAGGCAGGGCCCCAAGGCCACAGACCCCAGAATGTCTTTTGCTTTTGCTGTGCCTTTACATATTTGCTACTGTTATTTTTCTTTGGTATCTGGCATGGTGTGAATAAATGTGGGAAGACCCCCACTGACTGTAATATAGGGTGTTTATCTCATGGAAACATTCCACTCTTAAAGGAAATTGTATCTCTGGATTGTCATGAGAATGATTCCTCCCTAAATTGTACTGTCAAATTGATAACAATAATGTTAGTTTATATAGAGTTTTGATGAATAAAAATATACACAAGGAAATGTCACACAGCTAGGACACAACAGTTTCTACTGAAGAGCTCTACAGACTGTGGCTTAACTTAGTGATTAATGAAAACAATTGAGTCCCAGTTAGCCCAGCTAGCTTAAATTCTTTTACCCTTAATGTTGAGAGATGTGCTCACAGGTTTCAGAGTGCATCACAGTTGAAACAAATCTTTGAAAATTAAGTTAGACTAAGATGTTTTCATCAGATAGCTTTAAAGTGAAAAACCCAAGAAGATAATCTAAAGTTTTAGAATGTGTGACACATTAAGGTCAGGAAACAAGAACAAAGCAGCCCTATTGTTACTAACTGATGCACTTTTCTTGCTAGGATTGGTTGATGATCAGAAGTTATGATTAATTCCTTATATCCATTTTGACACTCAATCTCATGATATAAGAAACTATTGGTGAGTAGGTATATATCCTAAAAATTTGAAGTAGAATTGACTGACAATTTTTCATATATAAAAGTTTATGCTTGTAATTCCTTTAAGATTCCTTATAAGATTACCTTTCAAGATAAGTAGTAAAGTAATTAGCCCTTCCTTTGTAACTGCAAAACTGCAGCCTGCCAGTGAAACACCTAACTGTGAATACCGTGCTTGCCCACATGGTTAATCTATAACAAGTAGCTTGTTATGAATGCATGCAGGTTCTTGGAATAATTTGCTTTTCACTTATAATGCATAAAATGTCTACTAAGGTAAGGGATGTGGAAAACATGCTGTTCTTTACTATTTGTTCTGTATTCGTTGGAATCATTCATATAAGAAGCAGAATGTAGTCACACTGCAATTTTTATATTGCCTGAAAGATTTTTCTGGGGCACATAAGCTGTAAGGGAAAGATAGAGATAGAGTTAATGAGAGGTAAAATGAGCTAGAAGAAAAACATCAAGAGAGAGGTAAAATGGGCTCAAGGAAGACATCAAGAATGAGAGTTAGAGGGGAAACATCAAGAGTAAGAGAGTTAAAATGAGTTAGAGGGAAAACATCAGGAATGAGAGTGTTAGAAGGAAAATATCAAGGATAGAGTTAGAAGGAGCTAAAAGGGAAACAGCAAGAAATAAGATGGATTTAGAAGGAAAATATCAAGAATAAGAGAAGGAAATCATCAAGAAAATAAAGAATGAAGAACGCAAAAAAAAAAAAAGAATAAAGAACGGTCAAAAGGAAACCGTTAAGAGAGTGTGTGTCTTTTTCCCTAACACCCCAGATTAAAAAAAAAAAATTAGTATGCACTGACACTGTGGATTCCTTTTGAAATCTCGGCTGTCTGGAAATGGGCCCCACAGTTGGCAATACCAAGATCTCCTATACCTGTGTTTTAAGAAGAAAGGTGAGGTTAGGAATACAGTTGTGGATAAGAGTTTGTGGCTGCTGTTTTGGATGTTTTCCTCTTTCCTACCCTTCTTCAGAGGTAATAAGTCTTGAACTGAAACAGTGATTGGCTAACTTCCTTGTATTCAACACAATATCAGCCTCTGTGGAATGGTACATTAATGTCACAACTACCTTATTATGAGAAGTAACTTAAAATGCTGAATAAAAATAAAGCATTTAAAAAGGTGACGCCTATCTATAACCACCTATTAGATAGCTGAATTAGGAGGATTACAAATCAGGGAATAATGTGCTGTGGATCAAGCCCCTGAACAAATACAAACTAATCATTAAAACTGTATTCAATATATTTATGAATAGTCAGGAAGCATATTTCTATGCTGATTGGGGCTTTAGAAGAAATGAGACTCCCAAAGGGTCAGCAGAGTCTGGCAGCATGTTTAATCTTAATAGGCAAGGCAAGATGAATAGTGAATCTATGGAAAGTGACCATATAAATACTATATAATGAATGTAGACAGATACAGTGGTAAACAACTGTATTCTCAGCATTTGGAAGGCAGAGGCAAGTGTTGTAATTTAAAAAAAAATAAAGCAATGCAAGAGAGAAAGATATCATATGACAGAGCTCAGATAGAGGGATTTTTTATTGGAGTAAAGTGAATGGAAATGTGGGAGGGGGAGTGGGAAGACCAATCTCCGGGGACAGGAGTAGCAGAAGGGAGGAGAAAAGAGACAGAGACAGACAGACAGACAGACAGACAGACAGACAGAGACAGAGTAGGAAAGAGAGAGAGATGGGAGGTGGGCAGGGCCTTTTTAAAAAGGGAACATGGTGAATGTGAACAGGAGGAACTCTTAGTGGCTACAGCTGAGGACTTACACCCCCAAGGTCGGGCCAGTACAGGTGCCTGGATACTGACAGCAGGAGGATCAGGAGTTCAAGGCTGGCTTGGGCAGCACAGTGAATTTGAGCCAGACTAGATTAATGAATATCTGCCAAAAAAAGATGAAACAGGAAATGAAATTCATAGAATTCCATGGGTAAGAGATATCAAAGAGGTGGATTTTCAATAAAAGATCACTTTTCTTCAGTCCTGTATCTCAGCCGAGTAAAAAAAGAGTATATAGATTTATCATAAGAACCGAAAGAGGGGATAAATGAAATATATGGCTCATTGGCCATATACAGAACAGGTAAGATACAGTAGGAATGAGTACACTTTACCCAGGCTTGAGATATAATTCCAGGCACAATCAATAAAGCATGTGTGTTGGACATGAACAAAGAGCAAAAGACCCAGAAGAGAGGAACTATTGACAAGATACACAAGGAGCTCATATTCTGCATCATGAGCTCTATGGTGATGCCTACCTAGACTTCTAAATGAAAAATAAAAGTTAAGCTCACAGTTGTTTACTAGATTCATTAGAACTTGACATTGTAAGCAGGTGAACAGGCATTTGTATCTTCACACTGGAGATAATGCTTGTGGAAATCACAACTATCTGACCACCAGGCTTTTTTACTCAGAGCTTATATTTGGCCCTAGTAATTACACCATCATCAAGGGTCAGTTCTGCAAAATAGTCAAGGTCAACAGAGATCTCTTAACCTGGATGTAGGTATCCTCTCTGCCTCTGGAATTCACTCCAAATTACCACCTGCACATCGCTAACTCTGTATAATGCTGTGGGCTACAATCAAATTCACTAAGTCTGTGGCCAGGCATGGTGGAAAATAGCACCAATCCTAGTACTTGGGTTGATGCAAGAAGAGCAGAGCCAGCCGATGTGAAATAATTCTTCTTTTAGAAAACCAAAATTAGTAACAATATTAATCTTATCATATGAACATGTTAATACATCTTATAAGGGCTTCTGTCTTCTGGCTACCTCTGTGACAACCTGCTTGAGAATGTCCTCAGAGGAGAGAGAGGAAGCTATTTTCTTGTAGATTTGGAATCTAGTTGTCCACATTGGTGGAGTCACATTTAGAGCAGAAGTGAGCCAGACCTTCCATGTTTCCAGCCACTGAATGAAAGGTTCCTGAGAAAGTTACCACTGTTGATGCCTCATAGAGTTCTACAGCTGAAGAAAAAGAAATCCAGTGAATACTACAAAGGAAATGATGTGATAAGCAAAAGAAGCAGAAACGGTACATTAAACCGATAGAATGTCAGACACAAGATTTGCCATGTAACACATTTAAAATAAGAACGATAGATATCTTTCAATAGTAAAAAGACAGAAACAGTCACATCTGCCTTTAATCTCAGCACTTTCAAAATAAAGACATGAGGATCAGGAATTCAAGACAAGCCTGGCTGAGATAAATCCCTATGTCAAAATAAAACAAAAGAAAAAACAATAAAACTTAAAGTGAGTTTTAAATGCTATAAAAGTCAACTTAAAAATATTAGATAGCAAATTTACTAAAAAGCCAACTTAGAATTTGTAGGGAAAAATTTCAATATC